TTAAGTTGCTGGATATAAGATAAACTAGTTGTTATTCTGTGTTTGCTATATTGTACTGCCAAGCGCCAACTAATCCCTATGTAATATTTTTGCATATTGTATTAGCTCTAGTTTTGGAGTATCTTTCTGTTTGCAGATAATTCCTTTAATCCTTTTTGAGGATTATCTTTTGTGGTGATTTGTTATATGATGACCTTGTGCTCATTAATATTCTCAACACTTTTTATTTAATTACAATTAATATAATTTATGTAAATTGAATCATGAAAGTAATTGCCATTGTTTGGGGTATTACATCAGAACTAGAGCATTCTTAGTAATGTTTCATTCTCTCTTAATATGCAAACTATCCAAATGTGTATCTGTGCTTTGTTTCACGTTGAGGGTGAATTAATTAGGTTTATTGGCATGCAGGGCAAGGATAAAACGACAGAAGAAAGAAGAATTGCCATTTGTATCTTTGATGATGTTGTGGAGCATTGTCGTGAAGCAGCACTTAGGTGGATACTATAACTGATATTTTTCACTGTTATTTCCTTTTATTTGCCTCTTTATCTTATATATTTATTGCATGTGTTGGTAATGCAGATACTATGATACCTTCCTTCCTTTCCTTTTGGAAGCTTGCAATGATGACAACTCAGATGTTCGGCAGGTGACTGCAAATTCTTTTTCTGTTGTGTAATTGTTAGAGTTGCACTTGGCATTCTAGTTATATAATTTTCTGTCTGCAGGCGGCTGTTTATGGTCTTGGTGTTTGTGCCGAGTTTGGTGGATCTGTGTTCAAGCCTCTTGTTAGAGGTGTGATTTACTTAATGTGTTTTCTCTTCACAATTTGGATTTCCATAATATCATCTGTTGACAAGTAATTTGGGATTAAATCCAGAGGCCCTTTCAAGATTGGATGCTGTGATAAGGCATCCCAATGCTACACGTGCAGAGAATGTGATGGCATATGACAATGCTGTTTCAGCTCTTGGGAAGATATGCCAATTTCATCGTGATAGTATAGATGCTGCTCAGGTATTTCAAACGTGTCTATCTGTTAATGTTATGCTCATCTTTTTTAGTTGAATGTATTTGACCCTCAATATCTATAATCAATCAATCAATCGAAGCCAAAATCTCATAAGTGGGGTCGGCTCCTCAATTCTCTAATGATGGTGATTTTAATCTGACCATTGGAGCTTTTTAACTGACAGTCGGATTTTGAATGAATGAAAAATTATTTACTTGTATTTCTTATTTCAATAATTATACTACATGTATCCAAATTAGGGTCCGTTCGGCATCACTATAGTTTTCAGTTTTTTGTGTTTTTTTATTTTATTGTTTAATATCATGAAATACTTCGTAAAAATAATACAAAAATGGTCAAATTTATTAGAATTTATTTAATTTTGAAAATTGTCAACAAAAAAGTCCAAACCACTTTTTGTGGTTTCCTTTTTTTGTTTTTAGTTTTCAAAGAAACAAAAAACTAAAAACAAAAAATGATGATGATGGAACGAGTTTGTAGTTTCTATCAATATAGTTTGCCCGTTTCTTTTATTTGGCAAGGAGTTAAGGACCCACTATTTTTTTTTTTTTGGTCAAATTACTAAAAATTTAGGCTTCGTACTCATTCAATTTAAAAAATTTCCCACCATCTCTCATCACTTCTACCTTTTTAATAAAATAACTGTCACTTGCTACACTTCCAAACTCCACCTAAAACTACGTGCCTCGATAAAGAGGCAAACTATAGTTGACGGAGGGAGTAATTATATTTCCCTTGTTTGATTTTCACCCTTTTAACATATATATATTTATCTGACTTTACAGGTTGTTCCTATGTGGTTAAATTGCTTGCCGATTAAAGGAGATCTAATTGAAGCCAAGGTTGTACATGATCAACTTTGTTCTATGGTTGAGAGGTAAAGTGCTTTAAATGCATGTTATTATGCGAAACTTGCTCTCATTCCTTCTCACTTTAAAACTTTAAGAATTGTAATGGGATTTTTTTTATTTTTTTAATCTTTTGTTGGAGTTATGGATAAAGGGATGTAGGGGTTGTTGTAAATTGATTTATGTTTAGGTTTGTATTTGAATATCACTGTTTCACATGATTTCTTTGTTATAACATTTGCAATTGTGTTCTCTGCAGGTCTGATGGAGATTTGTTAGGACCGAATAATCAGTACTTGTCCAAAATAGTAGCAGTATTTGCTGAGGTACACCTTACTGTCAGATGTGAATTTTTTTTATCTCATGAATGCTACTTTAACTTGAACTACCATTTTATGGGGCAGTTAAGTCTCAATTCATGCTTCATTTATTTATTTTAATACTATATCAGCATTTTGTTAAGCTATAATTCTTACCTGTAAATAAGTGAGATTTGAACTTGGATAGCATATATGAGGTACACTGGGGTTATCTCTTGAGTACCTGCATACATCACATGTTCCTCTGTGTTTGCCTTAGAGAAAAGTGGGAACTTTGGCATGTTTTCTTAATTTGCGTACCTTTAACCCATTACACACCTTCTAATCTCTTGCTGATAGTTATTGTGTAAACTAAGTGTTGCTCTAATTTATATCTGCAAAAAACTGGTAATATCTTGCGTCTCTGATTTGTTCCACTAAACCTTTGCTCACTTATGGTGCTTCTAGGTCTTGTGTGCGGGTAAAGATCTTGCAACAGAGCAAACTGCAAGCCGAATGGTCAATTTATTAAGGCAACTTCAACAAACCCTACCGCCCTCTACTCTTGCATCGACCTGGTCATCCCTTCAACCTCAGCAGGTGTTGGCCTTGCAGTCAATTCTCTCCCAATAGTTTCATGTGTTGTTTGTTTCATCTTTATGTGGAAGCCTGCTCAAGATGTGAGCAGGTCTATTGTCTTCTATTTCATTATTCTTTTTTCATAGCATATATAATAACCTCGATCGTAATTTTTGCTGGTGGCACGTTGTTGGTCAATGTGGTTGTCTTGGTTGGGGAAGATCAGATATCAGTGTACAATGTGTATATTATGAGTTGTCTGTAATCAGTTATCTTGCTGTGATCTTAAGTTACAACAGATGAAAAGGAAATAGAAGAGTGTGAGGTCATATATATGTTGTCTAATAGCGTTCAATTTCTTGACAGTTTGAAAAAAATTTTGTGAATCAATTTTGTAGCAATTTTGGGGTCTTTGTCTCTGCAGTAACCAACTTCATTTTTGGGGTGTATCGTGTATTTATTCATTGTTTGAGGTTTGCTCGATATCTTAATTCTTTATTTTAAAATGGTTCCATGCTGTTGTATGTGTAAATAATTTAAAAACTATAACAAAAAGAATTCAATTGTGTATTTGCTATTCTTGTTGCTCAACCCAGGAAACTAGGAAGTATAACATGTTTGTGTTATATTATTCTCCGTCCCTTAAAAGATTAGTTCTCCCTCCGTATTTAAATACTTGCTCTATTTCTTTATGCTCGGAGTTTTAGGAGAAATTGGAGAAAATAATAAAATATGGACGTAGAAGGGTTGGGGGAGAATAAAAAGTTGTAAAAAACAAAAGTAGTTGAGAGAATTAGAGGAGAGAATGTGAAATTAATAAAATATGATTTATGTTGGGTCTACTGGGTGAGAAATGAATTAAATATTGTAAAAGATTTCCAAGTAAGAAATGGAGCAAGAATTTATAATCGGATGAAAAAGGGAAGTGGAGCAAGTATTTAAAAACGTAGGGTATTAAGTAGTTTTTTTTTTTTAGAACTACAAATGATACAACAAACAAGAAGCAAAGAAAACACATCATTACAACAAAATACACTACAAAATATGGACGTAGAAGGGTTGGGGGAGATTAAAAAGTTATAAAAAACAAAAGTAGTTGAGAGAATTAAAGGAGAGAATGTGAAATAATAAAATATAATTTATGTTGAGTTTACTGGGTGAGAAATGAATTAAATATTGTAAAAGATTTCCAAATAAGAAATGGAGCAAGAATTAAAAATCGGACGAAAAAGGAAAGTGGAGCAAATATTTAAAAACGTAGGGTATTAAGTAGTTTATTTTTTTTTTATTTTTATTTTTTTTAAGAACTACAAATGATACAACAAACAAACAAGAAGCAAAGAAAACACAGCATTACAACAAACTACACTACAAAATAACCGATAAAATAAATGACAAATGCGGAAAACTTTATTCGAGCCAAGTTGGTTTACAAATTACAACTACACCTTGCACCCACTCGATTTACCCTTGAAATCCACAATCTGTCTACTAAATTACGTTAACAATTTAAAAAAAAAAGACTACATTGTGGTTTTGTGAACTTATATTTTGTAAAGATATGGTCACATGGAGGATATATGGTAGCCATTTAGTAATGGCAATATGCCAATACTGGTTCCTAATGACTACAGAATAGACTGAGTAGATAGTAGGATATGATATTGAAATTCATAGATTCTGTTTTTGAAACAATTGATAAATTTGTACTTGAAAATTAATTGTAAATTTTTTTTTACTAAAACTTAAAGACGAATGAGTCATATATGTCAATTTTTTTACTTGGAATTATTTGAAATCGAAAAGCTTTAAATTCAAGTGAATGCTAGCTATCTTAATGAAGTTTTGCAGGTGGTATGCAAGACTTGTAATCTAATATGTTAAGGTTGTTTCTACAGAGAATAGTGATAAAGTATGTGAACTTTTAAATTCTTATAATGAGTTGAATTACAAATTAAATTATTGGCATTTAAGTGTTTTTTTAATATATTTTTATAACGATGATAATATATCTATAACATATCTAGATATAGAATAAGCTAATTAACATGAATACTCATGGTCCCCAAAGATGATCCCTACTAGAAGAAGATGAATACAATTAATCTAGAGAAGAATGACATATTAATACAATCATTAAACCTTGTTAATGGTTGTTAGAGGGTATTTTAGTCATTTTTCTTAGATTAGGACAAAGACATCTGTAGCAGTAATACATCATTTGTAACAAAAACAATTAGTCTAAACTAGAAACGATAACGATTTCAACGAAGATAGTCAGCTTAGCATATCTTTTTTTTATAAAACAATACATTCTCACGAAGAGCACAAAATATTTTAAGTACCAAATATTTGAATTGAATGAAAGACATGTTGACAACTCCCCCACTAATTCTAACTTACATGAAAATGACCATTCTTAGTTAACTTCCATTCCCTCCATTTCTTTCAACCCCCTTTAAATTCATCCCTTCATGTCTTCCTTTCCTATGTTCAATTTTCGCTTAACTCGAGCCCTTTGATTAGAGAAAGAGAGCGCGTGTTTAAGAAACTCGAATATTTCTATGGAGATACAATTCCAACAAGACTTCATTGGTCAAATGGGAGGGAAAAGTGTGATACCAATAAACAAAGTCACAAAGCTCAAAGGAAAATCAAAGAAATCATCAAGTAGCGCGAATAGAAGCAATAAATTTGTAGGGGTAAGGCAAAGGCCGAGTGGGAGATGGGTGGCCGAGATCAAAGATACAACCCAAAAGATAAGAATGTGGCTAGGCACCTTTGAGACCGCGGAGGCAGCTGCTCGTGCCTACGATGAAGCAGCCTGCCTGCTTCGAGGGTCAAACACTCGAACCAATTTTGTTGTCACTCATGTTTCTCCTAACTCCCCTGTTGCATCTAGGATTAAAAACCTCCTCAAAAACAAAAAACTAGAGTCCCAAAAATCAAGCAATGTTGATGATCATCAAGTTGATAATACTTTAGTTACACCCTTAACTACCAATTCGGTTGCATTTCCCTCAAGCACTACTAACACCGCCTTTTCAGACCCTTTTAACTTAGCTAGTACTAATAGTAGTACAGCCCAATTTCAGGATAATTTTGGGTATAAAAATCTTGATAATTTTGTTGCACAAACACAAGGTTTACATCAAAATAGGGTGTATAATGGTGATGTATATAGGCCTCAAATGAATGGGTTTGTTGGAAACTACGAGCTAGTTGATTACTCGACATTATTCCAATGTGGTAACCCTGGAGGTTGTGACATAAATTCTAGCTTGCTAAAGCTACCTCTAAGTCTAAGCTGCCAAAACCAAAGCCAAGAGACGTCGGAGATGCCTAAAAATGTAGCACTTCCACAAGAAATGGGCGTGGAATTGTTTGAGATGGAGAAGATTAAAATGGAGAAGGATGTCTCAGCATCCTACTACAACGTGAGTAGTAATGGACTACACGAGTTCATCGATTTTGTACATGATCCTATTGAATCCCTTTGGGATCTTCCTCCACTTTATTCATCTTTTTGCTCAATTTGATAGTCCATTTTCGCCTTTTTGTTCATGCCTTCCTTGGTTGATTAGCCAAAACACCTCAACTTTGCTAGTTGAGAGGGGTGAAAGCCAAAAGAGTTAAAAGAAAACACTCTTTGGCTTTGATCTTATCAATCTTGTTTTAGTTTTTTTTTTTTTTTTTCTTACCTATTTTGGTCTTGGTTAAGTATTAGGAATGGATCAACTTTAAGCTTGTTGGAAATTTATTGACGAGGAGTTTTAAGAGAGATGGAATTTGTCCTCTCCTAATCTCTTGCGTGATTGTATTGTATCTACATATGTATACACATTTTCATACTTGTGTACTCTATAATAATTAATGTCAATGATGAAAGGGTTACATAAATGGTTTATTCATTAGTTCATTGTATTAGCAAGTCCTTTATTCTTTTTTGTAATTGTAATTCGATCCCATGCTTTGCTTTAAAAATTAAAAAGGATTTGATGTACAACAAAAGTGCATCTTAGTTTTTAGAGGCATGATGTACAAATCACACTTTATAGTTAATTAAGCGTGTTTGGTTGGTATTAGTCTTGAAACAAGAACGAGTGGCCTCCTTGGTTGTTGGGTGCTACATAAACTATTGGTTTCTTATCAGGGACTTTACAAGCCTAATTGACTAAGACTGAGTTTGAACCAAATCTTCTAGGAAATAACTTTGAGTAATCAAGCTCGAGCCAAAACTCAAACTTTTTCAAACATTAATCTCAACTCTCAAGTTCACTTACCTTGAAATCTCCACTTGAGTAAAATTGATTAAAGCTTAATACGAAGTATATAACAGCAATTTCATATTTAAAAATTTGTTGTTTACTTTTATTATCATACCCATACTACTACGAAGGAAAAAAAAAGAAAAGAAAGAAGAAGACGTGTGTCAACTAACTATAAATGACTTTATAAGGAAGGTGTGACAAGACTACTAACAACTAAACTGAGACAAAGAGAGTATTGATTCACATTAAAGTTCATATTATGTAAGATACAATAGTAAAAAAAAATGTCGAGCCTAACACACAAACTTCTAGAGGCAAGTTAGTTCCTAACAATTATATAGTATTAAGAATTCAAGATTAAATTGTTCACAAGCCAGTTAGATTTATCAACGCCTTTATTTCTTATGTCGCTATGAATTAGATTTTCCTCAGATTGACAATGAATTATTCGTTGGACTTATAATCTTTATACACATACATGTACTGATGTTTGCTACCATGCATGAACATATATAAAAAATATCGCATACAAAAGAAACATATATATAAAAAATACAAGTTATGTGGCAACATGGCATGTATAACTTTGTGACTAATTTTAATTGTTTGAAATTGAAACAATCATGTTCATCATATTATATGTGTAATAATGACCCAAAACAATGAATATTTTGCTATTTTAATTCCTAAGACTAACAATATAAGTAAGCTAAGACGTGAGATAGTGGCACCCTCGTAATAGAGGCAGAAATATTCATTAACGGTTGATGAGGGGAATAGGCTTCGTTGAAAATATCTATTATAATAAATGGCCTCCATAACTTTGTCAATTATTCTTTTCTAATCATTATTATTATTTAAACATTATCTGACATTCTAGATTCTGGCTCTTCCACCGAATTGAAAAGTGATACAAAATATATTTACCTTAATCCTTAATGCCTTAACTCCGTTACGCTAGAGGTGTCACTTCGAATGTTCGGATCGAATTCAGTGAGGTCAGATTTATTTTTAAATTCGAGTCATGTTAAATTTGTGTCTACATGAATCGAAATAAATTTCAAATATTTTTCGGTTCGATTTCGAATCAGGTCGTTTCGGGTCGGGTGTGGTACGGTTTTGGCACCTCTAATAATGATTTTATCCCTTTAAATACTTGGTACCCAAATTTTCATTACCTTATTTGACCCGAAATCGAACTAAACAATTTGTCATTTGAAGTTGGTGTGGCCCTAACTATATTATCTCGACATGACCTGAATTGAACCTGACCCAAAAACCTAAATTGACAAGTCTAGGGTAGATGATAAATACATTATTAGTCACATTTATGCCCCTTTATAATAATTCTTTTGCTCTTATGTTATACCTATTGATGCTTGTTTATCTTATTTATATGCATGGTACATGCACTGATGAACATCATTAGGAAGGATGCCAAGAAGTGAGCTACATCAACCTACTGTGTTTTGGGCCATCACTTATTCACTAGCACTTCTTCACTTGCTAGTAAAATTAACCAAAATTCTATCAAACCACTTAATCACTTATTGCTGTTAGCTAGATCAACTAATGCAATCAGCTTTCTGCTATCCGCTAATTATCAAATAATGAGGCCTTATTTGAAAAAAATGCGAAATCTTTCACAAATACAAGTTGTACTATGAAATGCAACAAATAAAGTGGATGCAATGGTCACGATATAAATCATCTTTTGTTCTACAAAGCCGCAACAAAAACCAGTGATACATTGGATCCGTATAGATATTTAGATCCCGATTCAGACAAGTTTTGGGATGTTCTAAATGTTTGAACCATCTTAGTTCAATAATACAGTAAGTACTGAGTGTATTGTGAGAAAAAAAGAAAAAGAAGTAGAAATTGGACATCAGGCTATAATTTTAGATTTTTACACAATGTGGAAAGGATGTACATTTTTCAAAATCCCAGTCCCTAAACAACAACGTATATAGCAGATCGATGCCACTTGAATGATAAATTTACACAGGAATTTCACTCGAAAATCAATTATCCACCAGAAAAAAATTACAATAAATATACTGCAAAAAAGGGTACTAGAAACCAGAGATGAAATTGCTAACATTGACCCTGTGATTGTGATGCCACCACCTTAGTACTCTTCTTCCTCCTCTTCATTACTGCCCTCAGCCCCAACCTCCTCATAGTCTTTCTCAAGAGCTGCTAGGTCCTCTCGAGCTTCTGAAAACTCACCTTCTTCCATACCTTCGCCAACATACCAGTGCACAAATGCTCTCTTGGCATACATAAGGTCAAATTTATGGTCAATTCTGGAGAAAACTTCTGCCACTGCAGTATTGTTGCTGATCATGCAGACTGCACGCTGCACCTTGGCAAGATCACCACCCGGTACTACTGTTGGTGGTTCGTAGTTGATTCCACACTTGAAACCAGTAGGGCACCTGTAACATGTTTAAAATCAAGACTATTAATAAAAAAGAGCCTTCATTATTTGAACAATAAGCCAAAGGCTAGCCACAATATGATGCAAGTTTTGATCAAAATCTTTTTACAAAACTAGCCCTCAATTTGTTCTCTTGATCTGATTTTACAGAACATAATTAATTCTGATCCGAAACAGTATTTTACTAATTTTTTCACGTTGAAGAAATAAGAAGCCAAAATGGCTTGCAGCTGTATCCATTCCCCCATCCCTTTCCAGTGAACGGCATTACACAATCTGCTTTACTAATTGCAAAACGATATCAGTTGAGCACAATTAATATGTACACTAATGTGGTTTTGGTAACCTAAATTGATACTATTAGACATAGACTCTTTAGATGCAATACTAAACTTACCAATCAACAAATTGAACTGTTCTCTTGCTCTTGATAGTGCCAACAGCAGAATTGACGTCTTTGGGAACAACATCACCACGGTACATCAAACAGGCAGCCATGTACTTTCCGTGTCTTGGGTCACACTTAGCCATCATGCTTGAAGGCTCAAATACAGCCGTTGTGATCTCAGGTACTGAAAGCTGCTCATGGTAAGCCTTTTCAGCAGATATAACAGGGGCATAGGATGATAACATGAAGTGAATTCGAGGATATGGAACAAGGTTAGTTTGGAACTCTGTAATATCCACATTAATGGCTCCATCAAACCTTAAAGAAGTTGTTAATGAAGATACTACTTGGGATATTAAACGGTTCAAATTGGTATATGTAGGCCTCTCAATGCTTAGGGATTTCTTGCATATATCATAGATTGCTTCATTGTCTAAAAGCACGGCAACATCAGTGTGCTCCAGGAGAGAATGAGTGGCGAGGACACTGTTGTAAGGTTCGACAACTGCTGTTGATACCTAAACATTGAAAAGTAACACCATGATTTTCAAGCTTTCATTACATGAACAGGAGAAGTCAGATCATAAATCACGTACCTGAGGAGAAGGGTAAATTGAAAATGCCAGTTTTGACTTTTTCCCATACTCTACAGACAAGCGCTCTAGAAGCAATGACCCAAAACCAGAACCTGTGCCCCCACCAACAGCATTAAATACCAAGAAGCCTTGCAACCCAGTGCAACTGTCGGCCAATTTCCTTATCCGGTCAAGGCACAAATCAACCATATCCTTTCCAACTGCAAGACAGGAAAATTAACAATTCATTTAATAAATGAAGAGTGTAACATAAAGTAGCAAGTTTGACATCTTGCTTAAAAATAATCCAGCAACCTGTATAATGTCCACGAGCAAAGTTGTTGGCAGCATCTTCTTTCCCTGTGAGGAGCTGTTCTGGATGGAAAAGTTGCCTATATGGCCCTGTCCGTATTTCATCGATCACAGTTGGTTCCAAATCGATAAACACAGCTCTAGGCACATGCTTTCCAGAGCTAGTCTCGTTGAAGAAGGTATTAAACGAATCACTTTCAACACCTACAGACGTGTCACTGAAAGAAATGAATAAGGAAAAAATTAGACACAAAACAAAACTTGGAAATTACTGTGTTGATTCCAGGATTGATCATCTGCTTGAGAAAATCATACCAAATCATACAAGTTTTGCTGATGATATAAGGAACAAAATGTTTCATCACAATCAGATATCTAAGAAGTACAAATACACTACATGATCAGCTTGACAAGTCATTCATTCCATGAAGATATTAACGCCATCCTTTCAATCGTAGTTCATCACTTATGTTCAACAATTAATTAACTTGGATCTAATTAAGAACACTGACTAATTTGTAGCAATGCAGACAGCATAATCTGTAATCTAGTTTTGCATGCTAGTAAAATATTTTATTCATTGAGTGCTCTACCTCCGGGTCATTAGCATCATACACTATACTATAATACTAAAGTAGATATTGTAAACAAGCTATAATTCACTCTTTAACTATATCTATGTGAAGCATATAACTACAACAATCACACAAATTACTATCCTAAATAATTCATTCAGTTCCTCATTGACACCATTTCTCTCCCTTTGATTATAATGACTTCAAATTAGCAAGAAATATTTGAGAGACATTAGGAAGAATTGAGAAAAAACAAAATGTTATATATTTGGTATATAGAGGGTGCACCGGTGCAACCTTGATTATATCCTACCATCCCTTCAAGACTAACAAAATCTACACAAATTAGCATTAAAATCAAAAGTGAGGATGCCAGCGGAGCGGTTCAAATAGCCAAATAGGAGAGCCTCCCCATCCCCCTCCCCCATTGGGGCGGGGGTGGATCTAGAGTTTAAGGGTGGTGATTGTATCCGCCATAGGTGGTTGGGCGAGATTGGATCTTAAGTTGTACACACTTACAAAAATTGAATAATTTTTTTTTTAAAGAACAAAAAAAATAAGAACAACTAGATTTAACAATGGATTTTATCTTTATATTGAATTTGGTTTTGATTTTTTATTTTTATTTTTAACTCCAAATGAGGTAGACAAACCAAATGATTTTGATACCTGTTGGACAATTAAGTTTGTAACCATTTTTTTGGTTCGGCACACTTTGTTCTTTATTGATTTTAATTTTTTTGGTACTCCGTAAAAAACATTTTACAGGATATGTACAATTTTGTGGAGTTATAAGGTTGGGATTTGGCGGGTGGTGGGATAGGATTAGGCGGTTGGTAGGGCAAAAAGGTAGGAAATAGGTGGATATGAATACTCAAGTAGGTGGTGGGACGAGATGCTTTTAGATTTATATTCGTCAGGGTGAGATGTGTTGAATTTTGGACCCACCTTTAAAGTGGGGATAGATATGAAAATATTTGGTGAAGAAGGGGATGGAAAACTAACATTTACCCCGCCTCACCTCATCTACTCAAAAGGAAAAAAAAAAAAAATTGTCAAATTTGGCGCCATTCCAGCAACATATCAGCATACTGCCATTTACTTTATGAGAACTAAATTAGTCAAACTAAATATCTCAAAAAAAAAAAAAAAAGATCGAGAAATTTCAAACATAAATTTTTGATCATCTATTACTAGAAACTTCAGATCATAATTCCAACAATTAATCTCAAAATCCAACTCAAAAGCAATTATCTAATTATAATCAAGGAAAATATAAACAAACCCATTTCATCAAATGCAAAATAAACATCAAAAAATTGTTCAATTGATTAATAAACCAATTTATAAATAACTATAAGAAGAAATTAAAAAAACAGAAACCTGGGCATCATGCCATCTTGCTGAATTCCATGTTCAAGGCAAAAAAGCTCCCAACAAGAATTTCCCACTTGAATTCCAGCTTGACCAATGTGAATGTTGATCACTTCCCTCATTTTTGCTCAACAACAGAAGCAGAAATTGATTGATCGATCAATTTCTTGTTAAAGTCTAAGCTCACTTTTTTATTTTTAATTTTAATTTTTATTTTGTGAGAGTATTTTGATAATAGCTGTTAATGTATAAATATCTGGTTGTCTATGTTGATTGGGAGAGAGAAGAAGAAGAAGGTGCCCTGTTCAACTTTGACAGACAGGACAGCGTTTCTTTTAGATGACAGATAACACAAAGGATGCGATGTAAACTGCACTACTGCTCACCTACTGTTATTGATTTATATGATTAATATATAATCCCGACTCACGAGTTGTTGTCGAGTTTATAACGGTTAAAAATGTTTTTAACCATTCATTCATATTCGGGTTTGTTTTCATTTTCTAGAGGTAAATAGGTAAGTTTAGACGAGATTTAATCATGGGTTTTAAATAGTAGTCCCAATTTTTAAAATAGATTAGAAAGGGTTAATAATATTTTTACTAGTAATTTTCAAATTGTTTGTAAACTAAATAGGTGGCCTTGAATGGGACTAACAGATAGGTAGTTAGGGTGAGTGGCAACTGGCAAGGGTCTTCCAGCTGGGTTTTGCACTGATGGTTGAACGTTCATGTGCATTACTAGGATTCATTCTGTCAAACGGTTTGACAGTTCGGGTTTGGTTCGGTTTGAAATCGGTTCGGTATTAAATCGGGTCGGTTTGAAATCGGTTTAAATGTCTCGCGGGTCGGTTTCAGTTCAGTTTAAATATTTATCGGTTCGATTCGGTTTCGGTTTAATCTAGATCGGTTTTAATTCGGTTCGGATTGTAAACCGTCCGGGTAGTAAACGGTTCGATGCAAATGGGTTGCGGTTTGTTAATGGTTCAGTGTAAACAGTTTTTATCCCGATTCAAACAGTTTCGGGTTGGAAGCGATTTCGGGTTGGAAACAGTTCGGTTCTTTTTTGATTCAGTTTATAACTGGTTCGGTTTTTTTCGGTTCAGTTTATAACTGATCCGGTTCTTTTTTGGTTCAATTTATAACTAGTTCGGTTCTTCTGCGGTTTAACGTTATTCGGATCGGTTCCATTCCGAGTTTACTAAATTACGATTCGGGTCGGTTTTCGGTTTCAAAAAATCGATTGTTTATCGAGTCGTTTGGATTTGGGCAGTTAAATAGTTTTGGTTTGAAATTTGATAGTATTTGCTAACCTTTTGCTGGTTAACAAGTTTTATATAAAGTCGAGACTTCATCATTTCATATTTAGGCCTTATATTATAAACAAATTCACATTGATTTTATAAATATATATCATGTTCTGTTTCAAGTTTAGTCATACTGATCTTACTAGTGTATTACGAAGTAGATTATAAAAGTTAGTGAATTAATGTATTATTCTTTTACAACTAGGTTGTTATATGTTTCTTATTTAATCATTTAAATACTAGTGTCATAGTCATGATTTGATGAGTTCTTATTAAATGGAAATTTGCAATTTGGTAATTCGATACTTGATTAATCAACAAAACTGATAATTATGGCTCGTTTATCTTTATATATTTTCATGAAATTATGAAGATATTACAAAGTAGTTTGATTTGTGTAATGAAAGAAAACATTAATGATTTATTAACAAGGTAATATTGATTAGTTCAATCAATCGTATGTACACATTAACGCATAGCATCTAACCATCTCATAGTTAAATACTTCGTATGTATTAGTACAAAGTTATAAATTAGTGAACATTATTTTGATTGGATCAATAACTTGAGCTGTTGTTTTAAATTAAATTAGGATCATTGTTCGTGTAGTTTAAGTATAATGATCTACACCATCTCTAACTATTATTTTAATACTCCATCCGTCCCTTTATTTTGTCCCTTTGACATTTTTGGGGTCAAACTTTGAAAATATTGACCATAAATTACCACTAATCTATAAAACAGTAAAACTTAATTTTGTCACGAGACTCATGAGTCATGACTCATGACTTCATGAGTGATCTTTCTAAATTTGTATCATTATATATTTTATTAATATAACGTTTTTATAATTTTTACTTGTATGAAAATAAAGATATATGACAAGGGTTAAATCGGTCGCTACAATCTAACTCTCAATCAAACAATACTTATACGAACACCCTATAACCAAGTACAATGGCAAATAAAGGTTCGGTCCACGAGGAACGAGAGTAATTGCAAATCAATCTTAAACCTAAGCTAGTTCGAAATCAATGGAAAATGGTGTTCTAAAATACTACTAAAAAGATGGAATAAATCAATAAACGAAGACACTAGGGAGAACGGGAATTCACCAAACCATCGGTAACTACGCAACAAGGAATCATAGAGACAAACGGGATATGCAAAGACTATATGTCTGATCAATATCGTGCGATAGGAAGACAACGGGCAATACTAAGCTTGGATTTCTCATGCACTCAACATTACTCGATACATAATCAAACCACATTCAATAATGAAATACTCAATTCACAATCTCTTGTTCAAACCAAGAATAACATGCAATCAAATTCAAGATTCTAGGTTAGCTACTCCTATTATAGTGAATCAACATGCAATCGCATATAATCAATTTAATCACAATCCGTTTATCAAAATCAAACCTTAATTGCGTAGATTACCTAGGCCGGGTTTCATCCCGAAACCCTAGCTAGGAAACTACTCACACTTATTCATAATCACAACAATAATAGATTCCATAAACATCATAGATCTAAACATAAATTCTGATTAAGGAATAATAAAGCTAGATTAATAAACAAGAATGAATAATACCAATTGTATTGATGCGAATCAATGGAAAAGTTTAGAACTTTGATATCCGTCGTCAATGGATAATACAAAGAATCTTCACAAATCTTGCTTCAAATCAATCCAAGAAAACTAAAATCGCTAGAATAATCTCTAAGAAAACTAATGAATCTCTAATACTAAGAACGTTCTCCAATAACTCTCTACAAAGGCTCTCAAAAACTATCTCTAAAACTGTCTGTTCTTAACCCTCACAATAGGGTTATATATATATGTTTTAATTTAGAAAGCAATTGCGCAGGCTGCCCTTCGTAAATCAGCACGACCGTGCTAGAAGTGGCACGGCCGTGCAAGCAAGGCAGTAGCTGATCCGCAATATATTCAATTTTGGCACGGCCGTGCTGAATTTGGCACGGCCGTGCTGAATCTGGAAAATGGCACGGCCGTGCTGAATTTGGCACGGCCGTGCTAATGCCTGCACGGCCGTGCAAGCATAGGCAGGAAGGTTGCAGGCACTTTGGTCTTCTTAAAATAGTCACAACTTCTTATCCAGAGCTCCGTTTGAGGCGTGCAATATATCGTTGGAAAGATCTTCAAGTCTACTTTCCAATGCAATTAGAATAACTCCATTATCATTTGTATATCGAAAGTTATGAGTAAAATAGTGAACAGGTGTCATATTTGTGAACTGTTCTGCCTTGCCTGCTACTTAACTTGCCTTTCAAGGCCTTGAGAACCGTAGCAAAGCCTTAGCTTGGTGGACTAGGATCGATAATAGCCTGATTACGCACCAATGGTTTGGGACTCGACATAACTTGGTCAACTATACCTGTTAACACACCAAAAACAGACCGAAACCCGTGAAGCACGTAATATGAAGGAAACGAGTGTAACAAGGCAATAAACAACCAAAACGGACCTAAATACATCCAAAATCACCCATTTATATGCCTTAAAGCGTGCTCTAATGTGCGCTTGTCAATATACTACGTAGATGTTTTAATACGCGTCTTGGAGACTGATCCCGATCAAATGAATACACAACACACAAAACATCATCTAATCAGTCTCAACCATAGATCAAAAACAATCTACGGTTAATTTTTTTCTCCCACAACACACACGGATCACCACTCTCAAGCATAGATTAAAAACAATCTACGGTTAGCTTCTTTTCCCCACAACACACACGGATCACCATTCTCAACCATAGATTAAAAAATCAATGGTTAGATTTACATCTCAATCATTTTGATACCCTAATTCCACTTTCACTTTCACGCCTCCTAGTTCTTTCTCTCTCTCATCTCCTCTCAGATCTCACTCATTCATTCACGGCGTCTCTTCGTTTGTCGTCTCTCTCATTCATTTTCAATTCTCCCTAATTCATTCACGGTGCCTTTCGTTCGTTGTTGCTGCTCATCGGTGTTGTTGCTGCTCTAATCCTCGCTTATCAGTGTTGTTGCTGCTCTAAACCTCTCTTTTTTTGTCCAGGTATGATATCTCTCTTCCTTGTACTTCTTGCAACTGATTTAATCTGATTTATGAAGTAGAAGAATTAAAGTTGTAGTTGATTTAATGAGTATATAATTGTATAATTGTAATTTAGTGGTTTACTGTATAACTCTGATTAGTGGTCTATCTTAAGTTAGTTAGTATTTGACGGTTGTATTTCTTGACTGCTTTGCATTATTGTTTGCATATCAATCAAAATGAATCAAGATTAAAGAATTGAACATGAAAGAGTGAAAGACCAATAATCAAACTTGACATTAAAATTTAGGTTTTCTAAGCTACCACACTATATAACATAGTTGTCCACTACGTTTTGCATTATTATAGTTATAATTCCCCTTAATGAGTATATAATTGTATAATTGTAAGTTAATGGTAATAGTATATAATATGGGTTCATTTTATTTAATTTTCTAGTAGTTAAAAATTAATGGGTTGCTACTGAAATTTGATTATATGAGTTTATTAGCGTTTATAGAAAAATAATATGGGATTAATGACTTTTCACTCTCTATTCTATTTGTTGGTTTCACTATTAAGTGTACATCTCAATGTAATGGGTTTTCGACTCTTAACTAGAGTGTAAAAAGTACCTAAATGTGTTAGCATTGATAGGGACAATTATTTGTTATAAGGCTGAAATGTGTTGTTTTGATCCTGTTTTTTCAGCAATGGATCAAGGGTATGAAAATTATGGTGAGGACATACAAGATTATTTAGAAACTTCAGAGTCTCAAAACACTATTCAGAATCAAGATTCTTCTCAGCAACAAGTCACTACCACTAGTGGTAGTAAGCGTGGACGAACATCAGATGTGTGGAGGCATTACACCTTTTTTTATAAGATTGTTGGTCTTGCTCCGATAAGATATGCGCGATGCAATGTTTGCGGTAATGAATATAAAGCACCAGGTAAGGCTGGTACTTCCACTTGTAAAGCTCATACTAAGGCATGCATGGGTAAAAATATACATCATCCTGCAAATCTTGAAGGTGTTGTTGA